CTTTCCCTAGCTGCTTACCCAGACCATAGTCCAACTGTAACCCTGACACTAAAACCACATTTTGACTCTCTTCGAACTCGTGGGGACGCACTTGTCCCCAAAAGGGCTGTTGGACCCCACAAGTATACTTCTGATTTTTGGTCCCCACAAAGATATGTAAACACACACACACACGCGCGCACACACGCACGGCGGACTCGGTTCAGCTGCAGATGTACCTTGAGGTCGAAGTGAGCGATCCGCTTGGAGTGCAGGTAGTGGACTCCATCCAGGATCTGCTTGAGGAACTGCGTGGCCTCCTCCTCGCTCAGGGACTCCTTCTCTGCCAGGAAGTCGAAGAGCTCGCCTCCGGCCACCCTGGGCGAGGTGAAAGAAGGACGGGGAGGGGGAGAGGGAGAGGGAGGGGGAGAAAGTGAGATCTCTGAGATCAAAGCCAGCAACAAATCCCAGATTAACACAGCTCAGCTGATGTAATCTAATCATCCTGATGCTTTAGCAGCCGACCAATTTACACATCCAGAGGAGCGCTGTCTGCACAAAACCGCTTTAAGTCAATGACACCCTTCAATGAAAACGACCTGTTGGGTTATTTAACAATGCTGCACTATTTCCTGTCTGCATTTCAATAAACAGCTTCAAATGTTCAAGTTCAAACACGAACATGAAGGAAGAAATAACACCGGCCAGTGCTGCAATTACAGTCTTTAAAAAAATAAAATAAGACTCTGCAGCTTCTGTCACCAACCTCCTAAAAACCCGACTGACTTTACTTCATATGAGCTCATCGAACACAATGAAGCTGAGATTCAAAACTTCTTACATATTTTATTCTTCACAGTGAGGAAGAGCAAAGAGAGACGTGAGGATAAAACAGAGGAAAGCTCTGAACAGCGAGACGGGGAACGGAGAGGACGGAGATTTGTCTCCGTCATGGTGAGATAAAACTAGCAGCAGTAAAGAGAGTGTGTGTGTGTGCCTGTTTAGACATCTCCGTGGGGCCCACATATTGCTACTATACTTGTGAGGGCCAACAGTCACATCCTCACGTTTTAGTCTCAGGGTTACAGTTAGGTTATGGTTAGGGTTAACATTCATTTTTGATGGTTATAGTAAGCAGCTAGGGGAAACATGTCAATGACATGTCCTCACTAAGATATGAAAACGAGTGGAGGTGCGGGTAAGTCTAATTCCAGTTCCTCACATTTATTCACTGCAAGGTAGGAAAAGCACAACAAAGCTGTACTTTCTCAGGAAG